TTAAATGGGTGTTTACTGAAGTATATATATTTAAGAAATGTTTTAGTTATTTTAATAATGATATTCATAATTAATAATTACATTTTACACTTAATAAATATAAAATAGATAAATAGAGTGTATATATATATAAAATACACAAAAAAATACAATAATATATTATGTCCAATAAACCCATGCTTTACTCTGCTAATTGATGTTAAATGTATTAGCTTCAATCATACCTCCTTTTGCTACATGTGTTTGAACTTTTATAGATACATTTTTTTTTTATAAATGTATTTCAATTGATCATTTATGAATAAATGAGAATTTAATCAAATATATATATTTAATGAATGCATTGTAATTTATTTGTATAATTAGAGTTATAATGAATAATTACGTTTACACACACACATATAGGCTATACACACACACACACACACACACATATATATATATACGCAGGAAAAAAACAAAATTATATTAAATGTCTAATAATAACATGCATTTGTGTGACCTGCCATTTACTCTTTATTTCCCTCCTTCCTAAAATTTTCCACTAGTTAGCTCCACCCCCTCATCTATCCGCAGCCCTAGAAAGGCCATGACCTGGGCTGGCCACGCCTCCGCTGTTCTCCACACACATCCTTCTTTTTAGGGTCCCCCACCCCCATCCAAATATAGTTGTCATATTTGGTTTCCTCTCGGACTGACTGGGGGAGGAGAGTGGGGAGACGGAGAACTGAATACTACTCATCAAATTACCCAACAGGCCAAGACTGTGTCCTTCAAAGATAGTCTTATTTCCGGGTATATAACAAGAAATTCATTAACCTCAATTTGGTATAAATTTCACGCATCCCTCTCAGGAGGCAGTTTGATCAAGTCCAGTGTTTAGTGTGAAAATACATTTTCTGTGGTCATTAGGAGATGACTTAAATTGTGTTTTGACTTTCCCACTACTGACAGACCTATCCTTTTTGGGGCAGTCGTGGCCTAATAGTTAAAGAGTCGGACTTGTAACCCAAAGGTCGTGGGTTCAAGTCTCAGTAGCAGCAGGGATTGAAGGTGGGGGGAGTGAATAACTAGTGCTCCCTTCCACCCTCAATACCACGACTGAGGTGCACTTGAGCAAGGCACCAAAACCCCAACTGCCCCCCGGGCGCCACAGCAAAAATGGCTGCCCACTGCTCCGGGTGTGTGTTCACGGTGTGTGTGTGTTCACTGCTGTGTGTGTGCACTTGGATGGGTTTGTGCAGAGCACAAATTCCGAGTATGGGACACCGTACTTTGCTACACGTCATGTCACTTTCACTGTCACATTCGTTAAAGAAGGCATGTTTGAAATGAACACATTTGTAAATGTTTGCCTTCATATGAAGCATTCAATCTATAATAATTACACGTGCTTATATTCATGAGTGAATCTCACAAAACCTGGCAAGAACATGTTCTGGTCATATTCAGTAATAAAAAATGCCAGAAAAAAAAAGAGACTTACTTTTGCCCTAAAAATCTTGTTGTTTAATGGTCAAATAAATGCATTACAACAGAAATGAACAATGCAAGTTCATATAATTCTCTTGTAGATGTGTGGAATACAGAGCACAGCTATAGAGACGACTTCTTCTTGCATACTGAATTAATAGGCAGCTGTTGAAGTCAATAGTCCATGAGAACATTTGAATAGAGTCGTTCCAGAGCTTATTTCATGTCCCTTTCTATTTACTTGCCATTTATCAGGTACTTGTCATCTAAATAGACTTTCAATAGACTAAATTCAAGGACAGTTTGCCTCCTGGGGTGAAGCATCTTTCTGAAAGTACACTAATCGCTTTCCACCATTGTCTTGATAAAGCTTTTATCAGATTTGCCTTTCTCAAAATTGGCAAAACCAGACTTTCCATTACATAAGCTAAGAGAAAAGAGGAATGAATTGGAAAAATTGGTTGGTAGTGTGTTTGATTGCAGGGTTTCACAGAATAGCTTATCAGCAGACGTACTTTTTTGGTTCCAACACAAACACTGGCGCTTTCCCAAGATTCATTCAGAAGTAAATCTTACCCAACAACAGTAATACATCCGAAGTATAAAGTACTATATATAAGACACATGCATGCAGTGCACTTGGAACTCCAGCTATAGACTTTAAATTATATTTGGTGGTTTTGATAGTTTATAATCTTAACTATGTGTGCTGGATACCAAATACTGCAGGTCATTTTCGATAAAAGGTCAGCTAAACGTTGGTAAGTAGAAGGTAGTACATTAACCTCCAACAGAGGAACTTCCGTATTCGGTCTAGCAGGTGTAGATGGTGTTGTACGGATGTGGAGTGATTGTGATGGTTGTATTTTGTCTTCAGGTTTCTCCTCACGGCTGTAGCTGGTCTCTCCTG